AATTTGTCTGTATTTTGGTTATTGTGATTATCAATTTATGACTTGTCAGCCCAATTCATTTATTTCATCAAAAACTTAACACGTGCATATTTTTATTAAACAACTCAAACCTTGATATGATATTATGTTGGTCCAACTCATCTAAAAAATAAACTATTTATCATTTAAATTATATTTTTTGTTGAAACTGTAGAAATTATTACCACTTTGAAGAAAAATTCTAGAGGATTCTGGGATTTTCACCAACCTACTTCTTCCATCTTCCCTAATTGACATTTGTAGAAAAATCTGGAAAAATGTTTGCAGCCACCGCTATGCTAGAATGATCCATAACTGACTTTGCTACCTACATATATGTGTGTTGCTGTAGATGTATGGTTGTGTGAAAAAGAGGAGAGAGTGATAGATAGGCAGTGAGTGAGAGAGGAAGTGGGCCTAGTAATTTAGTGGGATAGTGGTGTCCTCTAGTTAAGTAAGTGCGAGTGAAAGTGTCAAGTGTGAATAATTTTTTTTTTACAATAAAATAATATTTTCGTGGATTTAGACTCAACAATTTGGTATCAGAGTGAGGTGGTCGAGGACGGATTTTTGAGCTTCGGGTGTTCGTGCATAAAATGAGATTGTGAAGCTTTTATAAAGTTTACTTGATTGCAAAAAGATAGATCAAGCCACGATGAGTGACTTACAAGTGGTAGGTGGAGTAAAGAAACTCAATAATCAAAATTACACCACATGACAAATTTACTTGAAGTCGTATTTCCAAGGACAAGACTTGTGGGAAGTTGTTGGTGGAAGTGATGTGATGCCACCAGACAAGGTCAGAACTCTGAAGTAATGGAGAATCAAAGCAGATAAGGCTATTTTCGTTATAAAGACGACAATCAAAAAAGAATTACTGGATCACATAAGGGATAAGAACACACCGAAGGAAGCACGAGACACTTTGGCCATATTACTCTCAAATAAAAATAACTTGAGATTGCAATTACTGGAAAATGAGACACTCTCAATCACTGAAGGAGAACAAACAGTAAGTCAATATTTCAAAATTGGATTCTTCAAGTAAGATTTCAGAGTTTAGAATAAGAAAAATAATTATACATGGTCTGAGACCCAAATTTAAAAGATTCAGTGTTGCCATACAAGGTTGGCCAGAGCAACCTTCAGTGGTTAATCTCGAAAATTTGTTGGTCGACTGATAAGCGTTAATTAAACAAATGTCAGGGGTCTCAATAAAGAGAGAAAGAAGAAGAAGAAGAAACACTATATAGTTATAAAATAAAAGGTCAACCCCGTCAACAAAAAATAAAGAATTAAAGAAGATAAATTTAAAATACAGATTGAAAGGAGCTATCAACAAGGAGAGCTCAATAAGATTACGACAAGAGAGGTCGGAGATATCAACGATCTAATGGTTTGTGCTTCGTATGTGAAAAACGAGGTCATTATACTAGAGATCGTTGGTTTAAAAAGGAACCAACAAAATGGAATATGACAACCTCCAACAAGGAAGAAAATTACAATGGTGGAGAAGAACATGATACTGAAGCATCCACAACAACAATTAAGAAGGCTCGAGAAAAGAAAATCAATTCAAGTTTAAAGGATGAATTAGCATTAGATGTGGTCCTTTCTGAACAATTGGATTGCGAAAATGATTGGATCGATGACTCAGGAGATGATATCGTGGTTCATGAAGAGTCTAATTGGTGGACTCCGCAAAGGGAAGAATCAACAAACTCCGAAGAGGTGCTTGAAGAAGTATATTCTCGGCAGACACCGCCGAGGGTGGAGCTACAAGATTTAAAGAAAATAAAACACAAATTGCAAGAAAAAATTACAGAAGCTCAACAACAAAGTCCTAAAGAATCTAAATATCTACAGGTGTAAAGGGATAAAGAAGAACTTGTAAGAGCGACACAAAATTCTTGGCCAAATGACGTGGACCAGAAAACTCTAACGGAGGATCGGCAGAGTCAACAAGATATTGAGATACGTACAAATTTATAACCACAAATAAGACAATTTAGTAGACATGAGAAATCGAATATCAAAATTGATGAAGATGAAAGCATGGACGAGCCAAATATATTTAAAGGAGCGGATG